CACTTGAAAAAAGGTTTTACAGCTGAAATCAAAATATTTGCTCAATGCCCCTAATTTTGTAAATGCTTTTACAATTTAGTATTTGATTAGCTTACATATATTTTAGGAGCATAAAATCAGAGAGAGAAAAGGCTAAGTTTCTAAAGCTGCCATATTACTACTAAATTACAACATATGAGGACAAATCTATGCCTTCAATGTACAAAACTTCCTACAAATCTTGCTAGTGGAATATAAACACTAAACACAAGCCCCAAAGGTAGATGAATATGCATATCTCTACCTCAAGCAGAAACTAACTACCAACACAAACTGTATTTAGGGCGTACAATGCTTTAGAGTGAAACACATAATGGCCCATTAAATAAGAATGTGATTTATGTTTCATTCTAAGTGTGATATGATATCACACATACATTACTAGCAGAAACTGTACTTCCTTTTCAAGTACAAGGATAAAAACATTAAAACTATAGTATTTATGGTGTTGTCACTTTTATTAAGAGAAATGTTCATGTATGAACTGCAGATATGTTAATCTATATTTTCTATCCAATGACTACATATTAGTATAGACTATCTTTGAAAATAGGGATAGTAACTTATATTCACCATATAAAATTTTCAATTGTTTATAATTTACCTCACCACTTTTTAATATGCCAAGCAGTTTAATTTGTATGAACACAAATTATTTTTCTTTCATCACATTAACACAAGTTAACATCCGAAATGCAAATACAGAAGACTTGAGCCCTTACAAATCAATCTTACTCCACTTTTATAAAAATATTTTCTCACTATTATAGGCTCCATAATCCTTGACGTATATGTGTAAAGTTTTAATTTTAGTAATTAACTAAAGATTTATAAAACATGGGTACAACTATAAGATTATAGTAGGGGTTAAATTCTAAACGCTTCAGATATACAAACTTAAGATTACGTATACTTCTACTTCAAATAACTCTATAATTCTAAAAAATTACATGCAAGTATTATTTTAATTCAAAATTTGTAGCAAGTATTAATTATTTCATTTTTTTTATACTAGGGGTTGAAACCCTCCCTCCCATATCTAGCTACACCCATGTAAAAAAAAGCATCAACTTATATACCCTTCAATGAATGTGCAAGCAAGGCCATGTTTAGGGGTACACAAAATTCCCAAAAATATAATCAATTACTGATACACACTCAATCAGCTGTAAGATGCAACCCAGCTTTCTTTTAATACATGGAGTCTTCATATTTTTACATTGTCTGAACAATTTCAGTCTCTTATTTTCACTTTTGTATTTGTATCTGTATCAATAAATATATTTTTAGTACTACTTTCTGACAAATCCTGTTGATACACTACAGCATTTTATAAAAGGCCATTCTATTTTATTTTATTTTTATAATTGGAATAGGCTTCTTGTACACAACACTTGCTTTGTAGAGATATGAACAACTTTATGTTCTTCTACTTACATTAATTGCCTTGTAGTACCTGCTCTGGCCAACATCAAACAAAAATTCTAACTTGGAAAGTACTGGTGTATTAGATTACAGCAGGTAGACAGACAGCTACTCATGTTGATAATCAACTTATAAGCATGTGTGTGTGTAATGATAGGAGTCTATTTTTAACCTGGGTTCATTAATATTTACTGACAGTAGGCTATCTAAGGTAGAATGTCTAAAACTCAAGTCTATTTATAGCCACTCTCTCTCTAAGAATAAACGGAGCAAAAATAGGCTTCTTCCGAAGTAGCTAACACACATTGATCACTGAATGCAGTCAAAATGAATTCCTGCGTCACTAACCTCAACCTGTAAACGTCGTCCTTCTAGTGAATGGGGGGTCGCGCGCTTGTTCTACAAGCGGCATTTGACGCTCTACGGCAAAACAAAAGATAGACAGGGGCCGGCCAACAGCAGGTAATATGATTTGGCCTTGAAATTACACTGACGCTACAGATATCTTTGGGCCCACTCTTAACTTCTTCAAGCAAACATGTTGTCTGTGATAAATGTTAATTAAAACCGCCAGAGTAACCCTAACTTCAGAATTACTTTCTATCTTCACTAGACAGCTGGCACATACGGCTGTATATTATAATAAAAATACCTGGACTTCCGACACATAATAACCTGAATGTAGTCGTGACGCATGTACTGTCTATCAGAAGCATGTACTTCAAACTTTTAATGTAGACTTAAGTAATACGTTTACAAGATTTTTTTGTGTTCTTTAATCTTGCAGATAGTTGATGAATATATACATCAAAACAGTTTTAAAATCGTAAAGACACTCATAAAAGTACTATTTACTTAGCATTAACTTTTAACATACTTATTCACAAGGTACTATGAGATCTTTTTAAAACATGTAAACATCGACTGACAAACAAAGGCAACTACCCATGTGGAGTACAAAACAGTGCCAAAAAGTCAGAGTCGAAGTTAATTTTCGATAGAAAAAAAACAAAAACTTCTAATACTAGCTCCCGATCGTCAACCATGCACACAAAATATACAGGTCACCTCCAAGCGTTTGAACTATTCAACCATATTGTTCCCTACGACTTAAAACGAAAATGCAACTTACTAAAACAAGTCAGAAAGCACACCAGTCTTAGGAATTGCATTGTAATCATATTCAACTCTCTCATATTTTTAAGATACAAATCATTTTGATTTCCAAAACGTTTGTCTTAGGAAGCCATGAAAAAGAATTGTTTATTGGACATTTTGAACGGTTTATTGTTGTGAATGCGAAAGGTTGTTTTGTGCAACAGCCAGTACGTAATATCGTGTTTCAAACAAAATATGATTTCTTCAAATTTTACCAAACTGTAAAAAAAGTTGCAATGTTAAGAATTTCAGTTTCTGGAAGTCAAAGTTCTATTAAAGTAAGTGTTATCTGTTAAAGTTCGACAATTCAGACGATTTCCGGTACAGTATTTATTGTTATAATTACATATATATACATATATTGCCTGCTTGGTTAAGGAACTAACTTACAAACCTTAACTTTCACAGCTTTACGAACAAGATACATTTAAACGATCTCCGATCTTCAGTCGAAAACTACGCGTTTAACTTGTAACTCTTGCTTGTCTGTTTCTACAAGAAAATTATACCCTTTCTTCGAACAAAAAGGCTATGCCTATAAAACGGCGGTTTGAAGCCAGTACTGCAACAAAACCGCACATAATTTTCAGAATTAGTCCAAAAAAAGCATATAAATACAGACAACATTACCTTTTCTAAAAACAGCTCATTCCATGCGGTAGCTGTTGTAGTTACATTTGTGATCGTACATAAATAGGTAAGTTCAATGTCAAAGAGATACCCAACTTTTTCGTCCATCAAAATAAGTTACATGATAAAAATTTAAATGGTATCTATATTAAAGTGCTTAATTATACTTTGTCTTCAAAAATAGTGTTACTTCATAGAGTTTATATGATACTCAAGAACTTCCATGAAAAAACTCAAACTATTAATTTTACACAAACTTTTTCAAAATCTTTCAGACATAATTGCTCATAAAAGTACATTTGTCATAATGTAACGTTTACCCTTGCTGCATTTTATTCTATTATCCAGTTTCTCTTTCAAGCACAATATCCTATCTTCTACAATGAAGTTATCTTTCCTTATATCAACAAAGTATTAAA